GCTTGGTAGCTTATACGACAGCCTCATTTCAGGGTCTGAACAGTATATGCCCGCTCCAACTCCTATTGAGTATGGTCCTGGCCTGACTTCCAGTCATGAATACTATTGTGTTTACATCCGGGCACGTTCTGGGTATCATGTAGTCAGATGTACTGCTCATGTCTCGACCAATTGAACTGTGCCCGAATCCTTGTAGCGACCAGTTTCCTGATGCAACCAGACGTTATGCCGCCTTTCCTGCTGTCAGTCGCGCTTTGATATCTAGGGGATATATACCGATTATGGTTTCGAGTGCTTTGGGGGTGGTTGACCTCAGCGCCCCTGATATGCAGAGCAGTGCCTGCCGCTGGGCTCTCTCCATAAGCTTATTATACGTTTTCTTCTCCATGGCTTGCCACCGCACTAAGACTCCATACAGCAGAGTCGGACGCACCACCGATATGTAGACCCAATGCATAAGAGCGGGTGAGAGGCCCGTGGATGTATATAGCGCTATGGTCGCCTTTTTCACCAGCTTGCTGTCAAGAACAATGTGGAGGTATTTGACTTGTGTTTTTAGGGTCAGCCTGGTTATGATAATTTTTGGGGGATCCATTGCGGCACCTCTTCTTCACCTCTTGGTGAAGAGAATGGAGTTCGTCTTATCTGCATTGATATTAAGTCCTAAGCCACCTGTGACGTCCTGTCGTCCGTGGATAGCTAGCGGGACGTCCAGGATTCGTGCAGGAATATTTGTTTGATTCAGGCGTGGTTGCTGTAAGAGATTCCGACCCCGTCCCAGAGTAGAACGCTAGAGGATTATGCCGTTAAATGTATCTTAATCTTTATTTATTTAAAAGGTACAATTCTTCATAATTTGATGCTGGATCTCGATTCTGGGGTTACGCCGTAGTTCCGATTCGTCCTCCTCGTCCCGAATGCGGCTGTCCGGTAGGGAGATGCCGATAGTCCCGCCAGGGTATGGGCCTTGAAAGCCACCCAATAGCGAATGCGTTCGGACTCGAAAGTCATCCACAAGAGAATGCGTTCGGACTCGAAAGTCAACCGAACCCAGTAGTTGTCGGACCCGACAGTCAGCTCAGCGACGTTTGTTGGACTCGAAAGTCAGCTCGGAGAAGTTCGGACTCGAAAGTCTGGAGATTCGGACTCGAAAGTCAGCTCGGAGAAGTTTGGACTCGAAAGTCTGCAGATTCGGACTCGACAGTCAGCAGAGAGACGTTATGGTCGGACTCGAAAGTCAGCCCAGCGACGTTTGTTGGACTCGAAAGTCAGCTCGGAGAAGTTCGGACTCGAAAGTCGGCAGATTCGGGCTCGAAAGTCAGCTCGGAGAAGTTCGGACTCGAAAGTCTGCAGAGTTCGGACTCGAAAGTCGGCAGAGAGAATCGGACTCGAAAGTCGGCAGTATTTTGGACTCGCAAGTCAGCAGAGAGAATTGGACTCGAAAGTCGGCAGTATTTTGGACTCGCAAGTCAGCAGAGCTTGGACTCGAAAGTCAGCAGAGATCCTAACTACGATTTATAAATAGGAACCAGAGTTCCCAAAAACTGACTTCGCTGCTAACTACTGGGGAGGTTAACTCGACCCAATCGCAGTCGGCTGCTAAGGACTTAGTTCCGCCCACTCACATATCTCCCTGAGCGTTTTTTCCATGATCGATCTGAGGGTCGACTCCCGTAATAATGCTTCCCCCTTTGTGTAGACATGCTGGTAGGTCGACAGTAGTCTCCCTACATCGTTCCTAATGTACAAGTCCAGAAGTTTTTCTAGCGTAATCCTTGGGGCTTACATGGCTGCACTTTCCTGCTTTGGGCAGGAAGACAATCAGAGAGATCCTCCATTGGATAGGGATATCGCCCGTTCTTAGGCAAGCTGTGTATATTGCGTAGAGCCATAGGGTGATCACTTCTTTGGTCACCTGTAACATGGCTGGAAACATTTCATCTAGTCCCTGTGCTTTTATCCCTGTAAAGAAGTCTATAGCCCCGTGTATTCTACTAGAGGATATTAGATCTTTTGGGAGATGATCTTCTCCAGTAGCTAGGTCCTGGTGCTTATTGGCATCGGATACCTCAGTGCAACCTGGGAAATGAGCTTGCATTAGTGCTTTTAGGGCCCCTTCGCTGCCCTCAGTCCATCGACCGTCGTCGCGTTTGAACTGGCTCTGTATGGTTGGCTGCTTCGATAGCAGCTTCCGGAGTCTAGCCGTTTCTGGGACAGTCTCTATATTGGAGCAGAAGTTTCTGCACGAGTTGCTCTGCGCCTTGCGTTTTTTCTTCTTTCAGTCCCTTAGTTTGACTTTGTATTCCTCATGGATGATATCATCTTTCGCCTGATTGGCGATTTTGAAGAATTAGTTAAGTTTGTTTCGTCGGAGTAAAAGGACCTTGTTCCACCAGGGTAGCCTGGTCTTCTTCCTCGTTTCCGATATTGGGCATGATGCGTGGTGCCCATCAATGTAGTAGTTCTTTGGAGAGGGTCTCTAGGGACTTTCCTATGTCTTCCGCGGATTCTACTATGCCCGGAGAGATTGCGAGCCTTGTCGTAATAGTCTCCTTGAACTTTCCCTAGTTAGTATTACGGGGGCTCTTAAAGATTGACTATTTTGGAGAGTGTTCAAATACGTATTGGAACTGTATGTACTTACGAACTGAGAAGAATGGTCTCTCAAGGACTCTTCATTCTGATACCAAAGAACCCTGTCCCCCTACAAGAGCACGTTTGAGAAGGTGGGACCCACAAAGGTAGTTTCTCCACACGCAGTGGTGCGCGTTGGCGACTTCACCCACGAGCAGTTGCTGGTCCTTCGGGCTGGCTTCTACCAGGCTCCTGAGTTCTTCTGGTGGGGCCATCCTGTTGTGTGCCTAGAAGCAGGAAGCTGCCAAATGGAGGTTCTTTCCGCTCTCTAGCATCATGATCTATTTATGCTTGAAACTAGTGTTGTTATTTGTGGTGGTGTGGTATGAAATGGATTTATCTGCGAGGTGCTGGAGTTATAGTTGTTGAGCGATGGCTCTTTTATTTTTAGAATGCAAATGTTAACTGAATACAATATAAAAACCTAAATCTAACAAAGTCGACTCCCAGCGGCCATGATGGCTGTGCACGAACATCCGGTCAAATGCTGGCTCAGCAATTTAGCCGAAGTTATGTTATAAAGTGGATTTAAGGGCTCTGGCCTGTTGACTTGTCTTAACTTACATATATAAGAAACAATCATTTAGGAAATTTTAACTATTATTATTTGTATTACACAGGTCGACAAAGTAAAAAAAAAAAATGTGCAGACAAAACGCGACTGATTCTGAAAGATCTTGATCTGTACATTGCTAAATTTAAATCGTAAAGCCTCCATCACGTTTCAATTTTAAAAAAGTCGCGTCGAAAGCCGTTTGTTTGTACTTTGAAAAACTTTATAAAACGCTATACGTAACTAGGAAAGATATTGGGCTTAATTAAAAGCTTAATCTTTCTATTTTAATTTTTAGAAATAAAACCTAACGTTTGTCTGCTATATTATTTTTTCTGAACTTTCCTTTGCTCCATATTTTTGATACGTTGTAGCACTAAAATTAAAAAAAAGTTATGTATCTCTGCTTTAAAATTATTCCAGAACACAATCACGCCGTCAACCCATAGCCGAGACTTTCACAGCATTTTAAACAATTAAGGGCTTCATCATAGCACATTTAAAGGCTTTGAAAAGTGTCAAAACAAGCAGTTTTCCATACTTTGACAGCAATTTTCTCAAAATTGGTACGTGATTGAGACTTTTGGTTTTTGGATTAGCAATGTACAGATCAAGATCTTTTAGAATCAGCGCTTTGTATCCGGGTAAAAAAAGTTCGAATTTTGTCGCCTGTATTATTATAAGGTAGGAATCGGGATATCTTCTATTTCAAGTGGTTAATAAATGTCACTAAGATTAACCTAGAATCGCGAGGGTTTTCACACCATACTGGAACTAAGACGGTAAATAAGGCCATTTGCAATATTTATTGATCTTACAATTTAATCAGAAAATTGATGTTGGATAGTTAACTGTACTTCACAAGTGATGACTTCATGATAATATTGAATTTTACAAATAGAGATAGACATATGAGCTGAGCTGCGCTAACGACTATATAGGAAGTGATCTTTTGTTTTCTTTTAACTAACCTAATTTCCTTGGGCTACTCCTTCAATAGTTTATTCTTTGATATATTGTTGAATACAAAATATAGTATTATTATGGTTATTACATTGTAAGCAAAAATATATACATAAGAACATCATTGTTGCAACTAATTTGTGTGTAATAGTGGGTGATATTGACGTGTCTGAGCTCAGTTAAAAAACAAATTCCTGAGCCTCAAAGTCAGCTCTATAAATGCATGCTTCGCGTGATTTTGAATTTTTGTTTTTATTATATTATATGCATGTATTATTATGTATTTATTTTAATTTTTTTTAATGTTAACTGAACGGTCTAGTAATAAACTTAGCTGCTGCAAGCGTTCATTTGTTTATTGAGCCTTCGAATTAAAATGTCATCAACAACAAAAAATTCTATTGTTTCAGTTAGTCTTTTGAGTAATAAATTCAGAACATCTTGTGCCTATGTGCTGTATTTTTTTGAAGCCAAAATTTTTCGATCCTGACCTTTTGTATGGAAACGCGTAATGCTGCCCAGATATAAAAACATTTTTAGACTCGATTGTTTCTATAAAAAACATATTAAATCGAGTTCCGGTATTGACGAAGATTTGTCTATCCTGTTAAAGGAGTACATATATTTCTTCCGACTTTTGGTTTCTTTCTTCATTATCGAAAAGTCGGTGTCAAATAGCCTTTACTACGAAAATGTTGTCTAGCGTGTAAATGGGAGAGGAGATAATCTTCCTGTAAGCTGTTTTTATAAAATAAATTTTTGTTTTTTTTTTTTAACTGGAGTATATTGTGTACGCTGCGACTTACAGCAAATTCGCTGTATGTATGTTTATTTTTAAAGATAGATTAGGTTGAAGAGAGCACTTTTGTCGGCTACTTCTGAAATATTTTTTTTTTCAGTTTTTATTAAAATGTGATTTTTAAATCATTTTCAAAATATTCAGTTAAGTAAACGGCTTTCTTTTGCAAATTATTACACATTGGATAAAACATCAAATTTGACTAGTATAATTTAAAACAGTGAACATATTTCTTTGCTTAGTATTATTAACCAAGTACAATTTTTTTCAAAAAGTAAAACAAATAAGAGATTTTTGCTTTAAATGCTATATAATAATTTAAATTGCAAAAAGCAGTAAGAATTGGCTTATTCAATGTTTATACACAAGAATTTTGTTTTCACCCGTCCAGCGAAGCGTTGGTTTTTTTTTATTCATATCTTTTTCATTTACAAGTTTGTATTTATTTTTCTTTGTTTTAGACTTTTCCAACTTTGCGTTCAAAAGTTTTATTTGTCGAATAAAGCGTTTTTGTGAGGGGATTTGATGCTAATATTCTAATTTTAATTTTCATTAGACATAAGAGTTATATATATGTATATATTTTTGCCAACATAACAAGAGAAGTGAATTTAGACCACTTGCGCATCTGTTGGTCACTTTGCTAAAACACTATTTTAAAAATATTAACCTGATATCAATAAATAATTGGGTAAATTTAAAAGGTAATTAAAAAAACAAATTACTGGAGGTGTTTTTAGCACGTAAGTATATATAAAATTAAGAAGCGCTCTCGACTGTGGAACACCAGGTACTAAGGCGTTTGTGCTTTAATTTTAAAGGAAAATGTTTTTTTTTAGTGGTGGATTTAAGGGGCTATCCACATATTACAAAATTTACAATTTTACTGAACTCAACAGAACAGAGGATTTATTAATCACCATGGTTTATTGGTAGCGAATACATCCAAACGTTTAACTTGACCTGTGTGGGATGCGGTACCCTACCCCCTATAGAGATCTGTTGTTTCACACGAACCGAGAGTCAGATATACATTATCGGTTGGAATTTATTTGTAATTGTGTACCTAGGCTACATGGTATGAAAGCTCTGAGGTCATGCCGGTTTAAAATTGTTCTATAGTTTAACATAATGATCATATGTGAGCAAATTAAAAACATGATTTATTGATAATACTATAATACTATACATGTGTATACAATCCGGATATATAGATAAACTATATCTTGAGTTATGTGCCTATAACTTATTACCGCATTCCCCTGCATCCAGTACCAAAATGTGTATCTGTTACACACGGATCAAGTTTGTTTTCAGAAGAGAGAATATGTTTAACAGGCAGACGTAGTATACATAGATCGTCATCACCAGCCAAGTCATTTTTCCATGTTAGCCGGTTTACAGCAGCAGATCTCAGAGATTAACCAAGTGATACACTTCTTGACAACATTCAGTTGCACGCAGATCAAGTTTATTTTGATATGTGGGCAAGGTCATTTTCGCCCTCACAAATCATGAAAAACCGTAACTAAAATAAATTAGTGATTTTTTGTGTAAGGAAATAAGTGTTGTCGAATTAATGAATGGTGTTGTCATTGAGTATAATTTGAATATAAACGTGGGAGTTATGAGACAATGAAGTTCCTGTGTATGCTTCTATGAACTTCTGCAACATTTGTGTTGGCAGCACCAATGGCTGTTTCTGGAAACATTTGCCTTTATTTGGGTGTTGTGCAACATATTCTTAGCAGGATACGTTTATGTGGCCATATCTATGTTTCTCATAATTTCATGAACGATTCTTTGGGTACCGGGTGAACACAGTCGTGTTCATTCGTAATCGAACACACCCAAGATGGTTACTCGTACCTTAGACCGTGAGACACTTGCTTTTTCTCATTCTTATATCTTATGGTTGCCACACAATTGCAGTAACATTTTTAGAAACAAAATTAAAGCATTGTTTTTTTTTTTTAACATCATTAAACATTCACATTAACATATGTTGAAAAACAGCGAAGTTTTAATTTTTTTACGATTGTTCCTATGGCAGCCATATAATATAGTCGACCGATTTGGCCAGTACCGATATATGTATCTAGTAGTGAGAATAGTCAGCAGACTATCTGCAAAGTTCAGATTGCTTCAAAAATGTATAGGGTCATCTCTGCAAGGGTATGAAAATCCCTTTTTATGTAATTTTCCAAATGTACATATGTATATGTGCTCTGGGATTCAAAGGTTGGATATTTTATTACATTTTAAATATTTACGAAATTTAGATAAGCCAAATAGGAAAAAAACGTAGTTTCGTTACCTCTAAAACATAAAAAGGGTTAATTCTTTTATGCTTTCATTCTGCAGTCGAAATTTTAGCTTTCTAAATAATAGAAATGGAAACAAACAAAACAAGACGCCTGATCTGTTTCGATTAACACATACATATTCTACCTATAATTGAAATATTGACCGTTTAAAAAGTTTCATTCGGATTAAGCCAAGGTCAAAGGCCCGACTAATCAGCTTTATTGTCTAATAACTCCCCAAGTTCGTCCGTACTCTATTACAAAAATGCGACAAGTGAAAAAAAAAACCGAAGACCAATTTTTATTTTGACAACATTCGAATAACGGTACTCCTACGTTGCCTTATTGTTGATGCGAAATGTAAGTTTTTTGCACGTGACCAGACAGAATTAACTTTTTGTTGTTAGCCAAATGTGATCGACCATTTTTATACAGGTAATTCTAAAATGTATTGATATCTTAATAAAGTTTTTTTTTACTTAAAAGTATTGAGTAGTTTTTTTTAATGAAATTTGAATCTCTGTCGCGACATTTCGTTTAACCATACTTTCTTGTCATTTGAACTTTTTATGTAATAAGACTTGCATTCGATGCACTTTAACACATTTAAAATATAAATTATTTTAAATTGTAACAATTATAACTAACTTATAAAGAAATTCTCAAAACAGTCAAAGATTAAAAAGTATATTAATCTTAAATGATAATTCATTATTCTTTCCGTTGATTTCAATCAATATCTATAAACTTTTAGAGAAGTTTTGGTTATAGTTTCATTACAAGTTTTTCATGATTTCTTGCAGCAGTGGCAGGCGTGAGGAATGCAAACAAGTCGTCACCCACCTTAGTAGCTTTGTCTGTCTGTCTGTTATATACATACATACATTCTCGGTGGGCACTAAGTTATAATACCGTAGTACCCTATTGGTAAATTTCAGGGTTTTAATTTGACTTTTAAATTATCTAGTTTTATTTTTAAGAATTTTTCTTACTCCAGTAATTTTTTATGATAAAGCAGATTTTCGGAAACGTACCAGTTAACGGCTATAAACTTGGATTTTATGCTTAAGCGTTCTTTGATGCCGATGATAAAGACATATGTGTTAGAGGGGCAAATAGAAGACGCATCGCATCACATACGGGTGCTCTCAATGCCACATCCTACGGCGTCACCATAGTCAAGTATGTGGGGAGGCGAGGCACTACTGCAGCGGCTGCTTCTTTGTCGACCGCCGCCGCAGAAATTGTCATTTGCCTTCAATCAACTTGATGTTGTAGTGCGCAAGAGCAGCTCATCGTCGTCCATCTGGGCCAAGGCGGCAGGTGACCCTACGTCGATAGTGGTCACCCGATTGCCGCCATCTGCCGCCGAAGGCAGCTTGATAAACTCGCTATCCGTGTGCACTGGCATGATGATGCAGACGAAGCTCTGGCCTGATTGTGAGTCCCGAGGATGCAGCGTCACTGGGTTAAACTTATCGCTCTGGCCCTCGGTGTAGGTTTGTAGGCGCTGAAAGATCTCGGGATAGTGCTTGCGGAGCAAGACCCCCCGACGTGATAAAATATCCAGGATGTTGCAAAGAATCAGTTCCCGGTTTCCGTGCAAAGAGCGCTGGCCGGGGTTAAATGTGAGGATGAGGATCTCGGTACATTCAGGAACGGCCACAGCCGACACAGACTGTGTTTGCTGCTGAGCCTGCTCCTGTTGCTCGAGCGCGGACAGGACCACCTTGCAGAGCTTCAGTTTGGCGCAGCGGCTAACCAGCTGACGCTCCCACCGCACTGGTGCCTGTCCCATGCCCGGCGCTTCGGAGACTACGCATATGGCTACATAAATAAGCATCTTTGACTCCGGCTTATACTCTGTACTGAGTTTAAGCAGTTCCGAGTACAGTTCCAGGCCCATCTCGGCAGGCATCAGGTCCGGCCAGCGCACGTAGGAGGCCTCGCCCATGCACTGAAACCCGTTCTTAATAAACCCTTCCGCAGCCTCGGCACTCCGAAAGAGCACCCGCACCACACCCCTTCCTTGCGAGAGACTGCCCTTCCGCGCCAACAGGCTTAGATGGCGTTGAGAGTCCAGATCGTCCTTGCAGGTGGCTAACACCTGGCGGCACAGGTTGGAGGCACGTGAGTGCAAACATGCCTTGCGATGCTTCTCCCAATGGGCTCGCCTACATTCGCGTGAACAGTATAGATGGGAACAATTGTGGCAAGACTTGAATAACTTCTTGGCGTCGCTGGGCGAGGCGCTCTGCTCGCATTTGGTGTTCCGGCAGCGGATCTGTAGCCTAGACCCAGACCCCGATCCCAGCTCCCAGCTGACCTGGTTACTGCCTCCTGCTTTGTACGCATGCTGATTTTTGGACTCTGATTCGTCCAGCGAGACGCGCCGGATCCCAGAGACATTTGGCTTGCTACTTGAATCTGCTCCAATGGACTGCGATTGCGACTGGGTAGTGGAATTCGATTGCGGCTGTTCTTGGGACAACTTCTTTTGCTGGGGGGAGTCCCCCTCACTGCGACGTCGGAGTCGCTGCTGCTCAGACACGGATAGCGCATCCAACTGTTGCCGACTAGCTACGTCTGGTGCTGTGAAAAAGAGATCAGATCGGAGTTAACTATTTAGGAATGCAAGTCACCAATAACAAAAACGAAGACTATGTCTACTTCAAAGGCTAAGGCTCATGCTTCATACTTGGACTAAAACGGAACTTAAGATAGGACTGCAAGTATTGTAGTTTTATTTCTCAGTGTAATTCAATGTTTATCAATGTCACTTATGTTACAAACCAATTTGGAAAAAAATGTATTAAGATAGAATAATAGATAAAATAATAGATAGATAATAAGATTTAAAATATAGAACAAGAAACAAAACAATTTGTAAAATAAAGAAATAAAAAATAAAATTGTAGAATACAATAACTTTTAAAACCTTGAACAAGAAAATAACCTAGGCAGAATAGAATATAGAAAGTCCAGGGTTTCAGGCTTTGACCCAAAGCTTTGCATTTTACTGTACTGTACGTTACTGTATCGTACCTATGAAAACCTATGAAAAATCTAACTTATACAGATTGTTTATACAAAAAAAAAAAAAAACACACACACATCTTAACGAGGTAAGATAAAAGGAACAATGGCACCTTTACTCAAACATTTGTATAAACATTTGTGACGAAGAACACTAATAACTGAAAATAAGCTGCAAATAATTTAACTAGTTTCCTTTTCGGCACTGTGGTAGCAATCAATGGAATGGATTAACAATGAGCACCGCCCGTCACCCATGTTGGTAACAGGATCAATCTCAGCCCACGCGGTGAGTAACTGGATGATCATTTAGTCTCGAACCCCTGTTATACAAATGCCAATCCAAATTTTTATACTCTCGAAATCCAAGAAACAAACTTAAAGAGGAATTCCAGTAATTCCATTAATTCGATAACTAAGGCTAATCGATAAGGCTTTCCAAAAATCATACCCTTAGAATTAAGCTTGAGATAAAAAAACTGCAGCAAATGCAGCTCTCTATTTAAAAGGGGACAGCAAGAGTCCACATTTACAGCGGAAAAATCTTCTCAAAAACTGCATTATTAGGGTACTTAATAAGTCATAGATAGATTGGGATCCACGTTACGCTAGCGAAACCAGGACTTACCTGCAGATGCAGGCAAACCCAATTAAGAGCCGGGCTTATAACCAGTATTTCATATTCCGTACCCGGAATATGAAACTTTGTTCAGACCTTCAGCTGGGCCAACTGCTAACATCCACAGAGAATTACGGTATAGATCAACACAACATCAAAATATACCTCAATGGTCTAAGTGCGTCAGAACAAATTCTGACTATCGTCTCAACCTACACTAACTTAGGATCTGGCCTGTTCAGTTTCAAATTGGAAGTGGAAATTTGATAACATTAGCGGTTTTCCCTTTAACATAAGAGATGTTCCCTTGTTGATTTAAGGACATTTTTTTAAATTTTTCGTTTCGAACAACAATTGTGTTTGCTTTGTCTGAGATTTGCTAATAAGGGGCTGATCAAATTTTGCTATAGTCTCCAACTAATGAATATTAATGGAAAGAATCATTTGCGGCCAGAATTTAAAATATTTGTATTTTCAGTCAAAATGGTGGCAAAATGCTTGAGAAACAGCTGCCGAGGTTGTGGAAAAGTTCCCTAAGCATAGAGTTTAGTTCAGTTTGTAGATTTAATTGGTTTGTAGATTAAATTGTAAAACAAGAACACTTTTCATAAACTTCAAACTAATAGCCGATTTTTAAATTGAAAAACAAACTAAAAAGTAATATTTCGAAATTAATCTGATGTCGATCTGTATTGGTACGCTGACAGCCCTTAAATGGTCCCTCTCAAATCCGACTTTTCCGTTCGGAAATCAGAATAGGGGAAACTAGGACATAAACATCGGATTTGCAATAATGTTGAAGGTTAAATAATTATTTATAAATCAAGTTGTTCGCTTTAGGTAATTCAGTTATGCAAACATAAAAGAAAGAAATACAATTAATATTTGAAATTTACATAATCCCATTGTATTTTAAAATAATTAATTTCTGGTCTTGCGGATCTGAATCCGCCAGCCAAATGGAAGGCAGAAAGTTTTCCCAAAGGTTTCACTCAGAAGTTAACAGTGACTTAACATAGAAAAATACAAATGAAAATTAGAACAGGTTACGGAAAACCGAATCCGAGTAGAAATGGAAATTAGAACACGCCTAATTATATTTACAGTTTTTCAGTTGCAGTTTTAGATTCACAGCTTTACAATTATCTCTACATCTTCTGATCCTTAATATGGCAGCTATACAATATAGTCGTCCGATTTTAATTAAATTAAAACCGAAATTCTATACTTAATTTGTTTACAGTTTGACAGTAACAGTTTTACATTCCCAGCTTTACATTTTTTCTACATCTACCGATCGTTCCTATAGCAGCTATAAGATATAGTCGTCAGATTTTCATAAAATTTATACAAAAATTCTGAAATAATAAAATAAGCTAATATCTCAGAGTAGATAAAATACGTTGAAAAACAACGAAGTTATAGAATTTTTCTATTAATTTCCCGATCGTTTCTATGGCAGCTATAAGAATTAGTCGTCCGATTTTCATAAAATTAAAACCGAAATTCTGAAATAATATAATATCAAATGGCCATGTCTCAAAAATGATGCAAAAATTTTGAAATGTGTTTTTCTAAAAATGTATCGGGCATTTGTATGGCAGCTATATGATATAGTCGTCCGATCCGTTCCATTCCGACGTACATGTATAGCAGTGAGAGTAATAGAAGATTCTCTGCAAAGTTTCATTCAAATAGCTTTAAAATTGAGGGCCTAGTTTTCGTAGAAACGGACAGACGGTCGACGGGTGGACATGGCTAGATCGACTCTGCTGTTGATGCTGATCAACAATATAAATACTTTGTAGGGTCCGTGATAATAAACGAATTTTCTTTGTTAATTTGAGGACTTTTTATAAAACTTTACTTAGGTATCGGTATGGTTCGTATGTGAGCATTGGACTGTATGGTACCAAATGGACCTCGGATCCGTATTTAACGTGTACAAATTGGTGGGTGCACCACAGGGACCCGAAAACTGTGATATTGTGCCTGTATTATTGTTAATTTTTAACAAGAAAGGAAGCTAACTTGGCCAACCTTGTGGTGGGATTATAGCAATACCACTCAACAAATGTTCTTAAAGTTGAAAGAAAAATCAATGCAACATTGACGGGATTATTGTTGACGAACTTTATTTGTCCTTGTGGGAAAAGGTTGAATTTCAGAAAGCATGAAAATCTAGTTTCGAGTAGAAAAAAATATGTTAAGATATAATTTAGTTTCCACAAATTTGTCGATCATTTTTACAAGGCCCATTAGATATAATATTTTATACTTTGCCAGGGTCTTAAATAAAGTGGTAAAAGGAAAACTTTAAAATAAATCAATAAATATATTGTTAAACGTAGATCAAAGATGTAGCCCATCTCTGGGCTATGTATTAAATCTTAAAACGCTCTAAAACATGAAACTTTTAATCTATTTTAAGTTTTGAAAGTTCGAAGGTTTGTTACTTTAGCCAGTTTTAATTGGTCGTTTTGCCTGTACCAATTTATTTATTAAATTCCTTGTAGCTATTATTTTTCGTTTTGTTTTAACGTATACCGCTTTGGGTTTTGTGGAACATTAACTTACAGGTGCATACCTGTCGTCGTAGGCGCTGGTTGGGTACTGCTGCTGTTAGTGGTGCGGTAGCTGTTTTGGCTGGATGAAGAGTTAGCCGGTAGTCCTAAAAGCGAGGCAAGGACGTCTTCTAACGAAGCGCTGCTCAACGAGCGTTCGGGCGCTACTATAGCGAATTTGTGGTTTTTCGTAAATTGGGCAAGCCAAGAACGGAAATGGTTGTAACAGTTTGGATTACATAAGACGGGGGCATGGCAACATACATGTATAGAAATAGAACACAATGTAAGCAACTCATTAGGTATAGCCACAATTTATGGTCTTACTGTCTAAATGCGATCAATGTTACCATGAATCAAAAACTGTAATTTTAAATTATTTTTATAGTTTGTGCATGTGAGTAATAAAGGGCTAACTAAAGTATAATCGTGCCTATAAATAAATAGGTAAAAACAAATAAATTTGTACACAAATCGATTTTATTTTAGCCACAAATCGTGTATGGGAAAACACGTATAGATACAAATCAAAATTAATACGGGGTTATCAATATAAATTATATAAAATATAAAAAACATCTTTAATTGTTCGTTGCTTAATGATAATTATTATATAGCACGTTTCGGTTTTAGGTTGTGAGCTACCCGATTAGTATTTATGTTGTTGAATTTATCTAGTTTTAAAAACAAAGCCTAAAATAGAAAATTCCAAAATGATAAGACATTCATAAATAGGTACATACATATGTATACTTTCATAGCTTAAATCAGTTTTGAAGCTAACGACGAGCAGAGTCACAATGAGGAGCTTATGCTTCCATAAGCATTCATTTTACAGAAAAATGCGGGAACTGATAAAAATCAGTATAATAAGAATAATACAATATTTATTTTAGACCAATGATATTTATTCAACTAAAAATAAAATTAAAATATTTAATAAAATTACTACACTTGACAAAATTAAAATACATAGGTCAAACCGGTATTTCGAAGCACTTTAATATTTCCTTATATGAAATTTAAATGCACTAACATTGCACCAAAATTGCCGATTAATACATTGCATAGTCAACAGATACAAAATTTAAAAAAGTCGGTAACGGAAATTGGGTAATCGTGCGTCGGGATGTTGTGGCCATAAACATATGTAAACGTAATTCCGCTTTATAGCGATTGTCATAATACAAAATATATTTACATATGTATGGATGTATTTGTGGCTGTTTCTAAATAAAAACAAGAACTAAGCACGCATCGCTACGGGTACAACTACCAATAAAACTACGGCTACATGTTTTCCGGCGACTTTTCAGATATAAATGGTGGACTCACCGCCACCGCCGCCGACACGGCTGAGTCCGTTCATGCGAAGTGGCGGCTGTCCAGCTGCGTTCACCGGCGACAGACTGCCATCCAGACGTAGGTTGTGCGTGTGAAGTTGCTGCGGATTCTGCTGCTGGGCTTGGGCCGACGCGGGCGGGCTGCGGTCAATGTCGGGAGTCTGGGGCGAATCTAGGGGCCGGGTGCCGACAAAGCTGCTCTCCAGCCAGCATTTTCTATGGAACAGAACAAAGAGTGATAAAACGAAGATGGAATTAATTGCTTTTCCACTGTAAACCCTTCGACAGAAATGTTAGATTAATCAATAAGTGACGTTGCTGCGTCATTTGCACACAAAAGCACCGCTTTGCGGAAGTCCCGTTTTTCCCTTTGTTGCGGCAAATTATTTTGATTAGTTACTTAATATGAAATCCCAAAACTATCGTTAGGAAATGTAGTCTTTCGAATTGTGTGCATAGGCTTTAGTTTATGTAATTCCCTTAAAACACCGAGCACTGCGCTGCTGACCTAAGCTCAAAGAACAAGAACAGACGTTCAACACGAATGAAAACAGATGTGAACGAAAAATGGCAGAGTCCGAAAGGGATGTTGGGTGGCCAACAGAACAAGGAGAGCAGGCAGCGTGAATGGTACAGAGAGGCAGCTAGTTGCGCCCTCTCATCCTTATTTTAATAATAAATAAATAGGAATTGCTGATTATAGCTGGAGCTATAAGGTACTTTTTATCATGGTACCTTTTTTTCTGTTTGATTGCACTGGAAACTGTCATTATTTTATGAAAATGATAAGACTAAATATGACTATAACTAAGTTATACCGCCGACCCATACAGCAGCTACATATTTAACTATTTCATGCCCGAATTAAAATGGGCGAGGCTATGACTTTTTTTTTGGTTGAAGAGTTACAGGATACGGCAACACGACATTTACAAAATTATTACAGTCAAACAAAATAATATTTTCATGCGGGGTTTTTTTTTTAAATACCATACACCCTTCTATATTATTTTGTTATTGAAATAAAAGTTTGAGGCTCATAAATACAATGTTTCGTATATGCAACAGCGGGCATGAGAGGGTTAAGCATAACATAACATAAAAAAAGAAAGGAAGCTAGCTTAGGCACGTCGATGTTTGTATACCCTTGAAATTTACAATTGCATAATTAAGAATCGATCTATTCTGTTTAAATTAATAGAAAATGAATAGAAAACATTGTATAAAATAAATGTATTTTAGATTATCTAATATAATAAACATTATCAATATAAATGCTGGAAAAAATAAGTAATATTATTATTATGTTATGTTACAGTTTTACATTCGCAGCTCTCTACATCTACTGATTGCCTCTATGGCAGCTATAAGATATAGTTGTCCGATTTGTATAAGAATTTTTGTTGAAAAACAACGAAGCTATAATTTTTTTCTATTAATTTCCCTATTGTTTCTATGGCAGCTAGTTTGCGTAGAAACGGACACTTCTGACTGAAATTATAATACCCTGCAAGGGTATAAAAAGAGTTTAGTTTGCTACCGCGACAGAGAACCGCACTCCATGGCAATTCTGATTCGGCTAAAAAATACATAACTATAACAGCTAGTTATCGGAAGTTATAAAGGTAATCCTGTGATAACCCCTGTGATTCTCTGTGATTCAGAAATCATAGATAAAGTACTGCGCTGAGCTATTTTTTCACAATCGGATGCATTCTTAGCTAACTGGCACTTGGCCAGTGTGCCCTTAGTCGAATAGGGAATAATAATTGTACTATTTCGAAGACGACAATTTATTTAATTTTTAAATTGGTGAATTTAAAGCAGCTCCCGGCTAATATTTTTAATGAGATTTAAATTCTCAGCTACCGTATTTTGAGCCACTTAAGGCAGATTTTCAGTCTTGTTGGTGGTAATGGTCATCTGACGGCAAAACAAAGCAGGATAGGGAGCTATATTCGTGGTTTAAAATTGCATCATTTCAGATCAATCTATTTCGAAAAAGTCACACAATTAAGTGTAGATTTTTCAAGGCCGTGCAGAAGTAAGCTTCCTTTCTTGTTTAGGTTTAATTTAAGCCGTTCAGGCTCCAATGATATGAATGTAATCGATCTGGGAAATCATGTTACGTTGACAGAACCCACCGAAATATGTGTCTGTTGTAATACGCCTTTTAAACGAATAAAAGCCACATGTTTGTTTTGTTTTTTTTGTTTTTGAGAAAGCACAGAACCCTTATACCTAAGATATTTGTACGGCCAATTAGGATAGTACCATACTATGTTAGTAATCGATGTTAGCCACATGGAAAGTGTTGTAGACGAGCAACCCAACTTGTGGGTGTCTTACCTTTGGAAAAGCTTGTGATCTTGTTTTGGTTTGATAATTTTCTGGTGCTGATAACGGTGCATTTTAAAGATAGCTGCGAGGTGTGTATTTGTCAAAGAAGAAAGGTAAAATGAATCATCGCATCTAAAAGGGAAATGTATTCCTATGGGCGGAGAGGTTCTAAGACAACCACTGCACACGGATGTGTAGGGAGGAGCTTAAGGTAGGGGATCGGACGACAGCAACATGAACAAAGCTAGGTATATGTCTATTTTATTCGGCTTTATGCAACGCGCTGAAAGCCGTTGCCTACCTCGAATTTGGACTGACTGAACGGCTGTTCTGATGCTGTGTTTGCTGTTGTTGCTGGTCGTTCACAAAATGCACAATGGCGGAGGTCACCTCCTTTATTGAACTCTGAATATCCGGCGCCTCGGGACGTTGGGTTCGCGGGCCGTTGGGCGTCGATGTGGGGGACGGGGTAGTGCGTTGTGCCAACAGAGAGTTCGCCAGTCTGAAAGAAGGTAAAAATCTAAGTTAGCGCAATCTTCTACAATGTCTTGTGGTTTTATTTCGATCGTTTCTATGTCAACTATTTGATAGTTGTTAGCTTAAAATATCAAACAATTTAATTTTAATCGTTCAAAATAGCTATATTTTGGATTAGCAATATCTAATATAATATTTAAATAATAAATATAGGCTCTGAACCAATCAAAGTAAATAATATACATATTATGCTTACAGCTTTACAGTTACAGTTTTATATTAACATCTTTACGTTTTACCCTACATCTACTGATCATTCCGATTTTCATAAAAATAAACCCGAAATTTTGAAATAATTCAAAATGGCCAAATCTCAAAGTAGATGAAAATATCAAGAAAACAGCGAAACTATAATTTTGTTCTAAAATTTTCTGATCGTTTCTATAGCAGTTATATGTTCCGGCCGTTCCGACCTATATACTAGTGAGAGATAGGTAGAAAACTAACTGCAAAGTTTCATTCAGATTTAAAACGGAGGGACTAGTTTGCGTAGAAACGGACAGACAAACGGACAGACGGAGAGATAGTCTCGGATGTTGATGCTGATCGAAAATAAATATTCCTTAAAGAGTCAGAAATGTCTCCTTCACTGCATTGCAATCTTTTGATTAAATTAAGTAACTAAAACTCTGGCATCTTTGGTCCATCTAACCCACTACATTGCAGAAGAAGGGAAGGCGCGAACGAAAAACATAGAGTTCGCAACGAGAGACGAAGACGGAAAGACGCGTGAGCTTAAGACGGCCAAAAAGAAGATTAAACGATTAACAGAAAATTACGACGCGATCAAGACCTATTAAAATACGTGTAAATGATTGATTCACTTTATACTACTATAAAATAGTGGGACCAATCCCACATATATGTATGTATATATTAATAAAGCCGTCAGCCGATAGGCTACATAGGAGATATAAGAGATGTCTGCCTTATCTTTTGTATACTCTCAAAAGCGAGGGAGGCTGGAAGCAGGTAAGCAGGCAAATCCAGCTGTGTTAGGAGAGAGCCTTCCCGGGGCCGGGAAACCCTGGGTCGTCGACCTTTTTAACGCCCCACAACCCATCTGCCCCGCTCCGCTCGCCAGGCCGATAATGAATGCAAATGAATATAAAACGCCGTGCTTCGGACCTCGTGGGGGAGGTAAAACTTTGTAATAAGTCAGAGATGGACGTGGAGAAACTGCTAATGCCTGCTTAGGTTTAGCATCTCTGTCGACGTCGGAGATTTACGAGGGTGAACTGCTGATGCCAATATTCCAATTCCACAGCTCAGTCGAGATCCGAGGGGGAGGCTAGTACCAGCCCTCCACAAGTCAAAGTTGATGCAGGTATGTCTCAGTTGGGCACCACCAAATTTTCTTTTAACAGCCGCACAATAGACTCGCTATCATAAAATAGAGCGCTATTATCAAGAGAAAGCGCTACGCCCAACAGAGCTTTATACTTAGCAAGACAGCTAGGAATGAAGCTGAGGGTAAAGTTGACCCCAGAGACGCTGCCGACAAAGCCAAATTTCTTGCGGAGATCACGGAATTTAAAGCATACGCGAAGGCACACCCAGAGGCATTCCCGCCCCCGAAGGTGAAGCGTGATCGCTCACAGAGCGTAAGTAAGAGCGCACCAAAGAGGGCTACGGACGTCCAAGGAAAGGGCAGAGAGACATCATTCGTCGAAGAGGCGAAAAAGTTTAGTGAGGTGGCCAGAGATAGTCTGACTATGGCGCTGGTGCATGAGCTCAATCACGACGGGCTCCTGCTAACAGAGAAGTGGGAGGAGATAGAGGACAAGTTGGCCGACTTGGTGCCAGGTTGGTTGCCTGGTCCTATCCCCTCCTTCGACTCTTCGGACATGGTCAGGGGGCACCGGATAATTAGGTGCAACGACGAATTTTCGATGCGCTTCTTGGAAGAATGGGTTGCTAAGATAGGGCTGGCCTTAGGTTAAGGTTGGTGCACGCCTGAGAGATTCCGAGGAGACCCAGAGCTCGCATCTGGTTACCAAATGTCGTCAAGCGCAAAATCCATGGCCCATAACAATCCGGCGTTCAGATCAGCTGATTAGATTGATCGTTGGGCACATGCTAGTATTGAGAATGTCTGATCGTAGCGATCGCTCGCTACTTGAGCATGATCGATCATTTCTCGATTATACTTCTAATCAGTTGTCTGACACGCGTCGTTCGAAATTTTTGGCAATGGATTAACATTAAACCATTTTTGAAGAAATAAAAATTGACACTTAAATAGTGGCTGGCCAACACAAAGACGAAGCTTAGTTTAGAGCATTTTAAGTGAAATTGTGAAGCCAGATGAATTGAGTGAAATTGTTTGCATTTGGATCAAGATGATTCGATCGGACCCGATCTCTGATACCAACCTTTGTATTTCCGAGCACGGAGGTCTTTCAAGGGTGGAAGGAGGTGTTATCTTAGCATTCAGATATATAGCTATAAGCATCGATCATTAAAACGGTACCTAGACGTAATCCACGGAAAACAAACTGGAGCAAATTCAGCAAATATAAAGGTAGAAGCCTGAGCAAGGGCAATCGACAAAGAAGTCGAGGACCTCAAGATATCATTCTCAAAGAAGCAGTTTCCACAATGGTGGAGTTAAGGAGTGATCTATAAGTGGTGGAGTTAAGGAGTGATCTATAAGTGGTGGAGTTAAGGAGTGTTCTATAAGTGATCGATAAATGAGTAGGCACAAGAGTCAATAGGAGGCACCATCATCATTGAAAGATACAGTGGACGATAGACTCCTTTGACAAGTATAAAAGCCCCGGCAAGGCTACAGGCAGCAAAGGAAAGCAAACTAAGAGGGGCAGAGGGTTATCACCTATCGGATGCCCAACACGCATACCGTAAAGGTCGATCAACCGAAACAGCAAGTCCCGATGTAGCTGTACTAGTGTCAGGTCCTTTCCCGGCCACCATAAGTAACGTAATGTCGGGAGCTTTGGAACGATTAAATAATTGGGCAAAATCCTGTGGATTAGGGATTAACCCAACCAAAATAGAACTAATGCTATTCACAGGGAGGTCAAAGATCCCAAGTTAATAATACAGCTGGGAGAGCTGAGTAAGTACCTAGTAGACTTCTGCATGAGTGTACTCATTTGTAGCATAACAGATCTGTACAGTAGTGTAGAGTTCTTAAAATACTGCACCCAATCCTTTCTGTACAGTATACTCTATAGGCCAGAAGTAGATAGCACAACACTTTTAGTGTGCCCACTTTACGTGAGTGCAGTATATGGTTGTACCCTTCGGGAGTGAGTACTATATTTGCTGTACAGCTTTTTAGTTGTACAGCTTGTTAGTTGTATGTGTACAACTGTGCAGATGAGTTCAGTATTCTTCAATAATATATTGAGAACGAACTTCAAACATATAAAAATATAAATAAAGCGTATAGTGAAGATTTTGATGTTCTGCAGTGGTGGTCAATTAATAAAGACCGTTTTCCTCTACTGTATAAAGTTAGTTGCAAGTTACTATCAGCTCCCGCGAGCAGTGCAGCATCGGAAAGGGCATTTTCTGTTGCCAAAAATTTAATTTGCGAAAAACGTTCAAAAATTGCCACCACTGAAGACATGGTACATAAAATAATGTTTCTCCATTCGAATATTAATAATTTAAATGTAAATGCTTTAATAAAATAAAATTGTTTATAAGAAATACATAGTACACACGAGAACTCTATATGTGTGCATGTACCAGTCATGAAGTTTCACTCACTGTACAATAAGTCAACTGCACACCAAAACACTGTACAGTGCCTGACTACTGCACACCATTTTTGCTGTACTCATAAACAGCTGTACAACTATGGAATGAGTGAGAACACTGTCTGTCAAAACAGAGAATACTACCCTACTCACTCACATCCAAGTATACTGTGCAGTAAAAAGTGTGTTCCCGTTTCTAGAATAAGTGATTCATTTGTCGTTTTGGATGCATTCATGCAGAAGTCTAGTACCTAGGAGTGATCCCAAAGCTCTTATGGAAGCGTAGTATTGAGTAAAGAAATTGGGAGTCGCATTCTACAGATTTCCAGCAGAATTGTTTAGGCTTACATTTTGCACTCTTGATTTTGTTGTAATATGCTTCCCGATTTTCCTACGAGGGTAGAAAGTACATTTTTCGGGATGTACAATTGTGGGCGGGAGTGTATATATGGTAACCATGCCATTTCATATCAAAACTCTTATGTATGTAGGCGTCAACTCACCGTTCATGGGGCGTCCGCTGCGACAGCTTCTCAGTGCTGCGCCAGCCGAGGTAAGGCTGCCGGTAGGAGTTGCGCAGCACTCCGGAGCTACTTGCTACCGACATAAAGCTGCTGTTAATGGGTGCGCCTCGAGCAAAACTGCTACGCTGCGAGACGCTGGGCGACGTCTGGGTTGAGTTTAATTGTGATGTGGACCAGCGAGTAGATCCCGCGCTGGTCTGTGCGTGCACCGACCCGTGAACCGCCGCCGACCCACTCTGCCCGCCGTGGTGACTATGCGCTGAGGGACTCAGGAGCAAGGGGCTCCGGTCAGAGCGATGTGATCCCAGCGAGCTGAGCGACGTCGTCTTCGAGTTGAGCCCCTGCCAGCGTCCCGACTCCTGTGTGCGCTTTCGGGTGAAGTTGCCCGGCCGATAGCCGCCAGCGGTAGTGCATCCATCTGCTGGAACATGTCCGGAGCCCTGATTATAATGTCGGAACCAGTCGGGGATATTGAGCCTTTGGAGCGATGCCTGGACACGCAACTGGTGCTCGCTTAAAGCAGCAGGATTCTGATCATGAAGCTTCTGCAGCTCGTTCTCTGGAGGCTGTTTCGAAAAAATAGGAGGGAAATTAACAATTTCGTGAAGTGAATTTATTACTTAACAATATTTTAGTATTAAATATTTTATATTATTTTCAATAATTTAATTTAAGTCAAGGAAAAAAATCATATAATTTCGCCAAGCTGAAGTTCGTATTAATGTTCTATGATGTTTATGAAATAAAAATGCTATATTTAAAACAGGATTTTACGGTTGCTCAGATTTAAATTATTACTAAATATGTGAACTATATGTGAAGGTAAAGATGAAAAATAATAATTATAGATATTTATATGTTTATCGGTCGATTTTCTAATCGTCCGTATTTTTTATAAAGCTAAAATCCTAATTCTTTAATAATAACGAGTAAGGAAAAGCTATCTTCAGGATGCCGCAGCTTGTTTACCCTGACAGTCTGCAATTGGATCATTTAGAATCAATCGATTTCAGTCAAATGGAAAGACATAAAACTCTAAGCACTAAGCTGCAAAATATTTGGCCTTGAACTAAAGCCTTTTTCAGCATGCGGAAAATAAACTAGGTATATCCTAGGCCATTTATTCTTTGTTAATGATAATAATTCAATTAATAAATTAATCGTTACAAAATGTTATATCAGAAACTTTTGAAGTTAAAGGTGCCATTGTCACTTTTACCTCACCTCGCCGGAGGTATTTTTGTTTGATATGACATATTAGTCTGATTTTACTAGCATTTAAAATATTGTTATAATATTGTATAAACTAATTTTATATAAGGTTCTGAGCACCTAAATACGCTACATGATTGAGTCGGTCGATTTGTTTTAATTTAAACAGAAGTTCTAAAATAATAAAAATCAAATCTTAGACACTACCTGGAAAAGAAAAAACTTCTGGAAATGTCCATTCAAAAAGACCTCAAAGAGTACGATTTTTTGTCATAAAATCGTTTTATTTTTGATTGCAACAGGTGAAAACCATTGTTTGAGTCCCTAGTCCGCGGCAAGGTTTAGTTCAACTGCAAAAGGAATAGCAGAAACCTTATTGTGTATCAACTTCCCTGATTATCATCCGATCATGCTGTCAAAAAATATTGTTAAGTCTAGCTCTCATAGCCTATGAGATCTGTTGATTTATACGGACGGACAGAGAAATATGGATAGATCGACTCAGCCTTTGACAAGAGTCCAGACTATCTTTCACTGACTTGCAAGCTTCTGATTAAAACATAATACCAAGGGTATTAAACTTAATTTGAGCGCAGAAGATAGGAATGTCGGCACCAAATTTGGGAGTTAGAGATCTTATATTTGTTGCCTGAGATTACAGAAAAAATAAAAATAAAAATAGTTATGAGTTAGGTTGATTTGCACGGGACATCGCGCACGGTATCGCTATTGGTAATCACATATTTCCTGTTACGTTTATTTTAGAGTCTTTGAATTCTCGGAATGATGTTAGAAAGCAACATTGCATTAGAATATTTCGATATCTGTTTTAGAACTTTATGTAACACTTAATGTAAGTATACAGAACAAGACATTTTTTCAGAACTATCAATTAATTGGCCGCGGGGGGCAGCGTGCTAGGATTTAACATTGGTACACAAAATGGGTTGGGCACTTTAGCACCTGAGTTGATGGACCCAAAGGTTCCGATAAGGAAGAGTGAACGTGAGACAACAATTTCGCTACAGCCTCTATTGCGCTTTCTGTTGCTACTGATGCGACTGTAGAGAAGCGGAAATCATTGGCAACAAAAGTTGACTTCTGATTTTACGTCAACATCATTCTAACTTACTCCATTGCGGGGCAGCATTTTATCTAAATAGCATTATTTTGAAGGCAAGAATGTGATATTTAAATAACTGGACAAGAATTTCAAAGGCCAAATAAAACAAAAAAACGTATAAAACGTAATTAGCTAAAGCAGTTGTTTTTCATGTTTGACGTTTTGTTTGAGAAAGCCTAAAACGATTTTATCTAGACACTTGTCGAAGCACTTTTAGCTCGATTTTACTAATTGCCTACAAAATTAGGGAGCACTGCGGCAAAAAGCCTACGAAACGCAAAATTGTATAACTAAGTTATTGGAAGTGCTGTTTAATGAATTCAGTTACAACTTACTGCCTTCTACAGTATACGATACAACACTGAGCTCGCTGAAAATGCTCAACAAATGACTTGTTTAAACAGTGTCTGATCTTAGTGAGTCTAATCAGAAAGAACAACAAATCAACTGTGCATGCCCTGATTTACGGACTCGGGAACAAGTAGAGCACCCATATACCATAGAGAACGGAAGAGAAAGGAGCAACCGGGCAGACGATGGAGTCAACTACGGACTAGGCTAGGCAGTCACACCCAAAAGCAAAAAATGCGGCCCATTGGTATGGAATACATAATCGATGAAAATAGGTCGGTCTTTAAAGTTATTTTTATATGCTTATATTTATATTAACATTCTCCCACCCCCAGACCCAGAAAAGTGGGCTACAACCTTAGAAACACAAATTTGGCGAAAAAGTGGCAAACGCACGCCTAACCCACCACCACATGGACACATGGCAAAGCACACGTACGACACAGTTAAATTTGATTGCCAACGGCAGAAGAGTTTGGTATAGGCTTTTCTAGGGCTTCTCCGACTCGACACTTCCGTTCACATCTTAGCTGAAATTAACAAATCAAATGTTGCTCTTACTTGCTCAAACATTGTACGCGACATGCAACAACCACACTAACGTACCGAGTACGCGTACACACGCACACACCCTATGGCGGCGCGGGCAGCAAACACTATGCGTCATTTGCCATTTCCGGCAGCCGAAGGAGTATGTGTCGCGTTTCGGCTTGTTGTAGATACTGGCCTACCTACGACATGGCCAGTGCAATGTGCTGCGATTCGATTATTATGGCAGCTTTGGCGCATGTCAAGTGCTACCCCAAAACGAGAGCTTTCCGACGGCAGCTTTATGGGACCTCTGCAGACTTCAGGAGATGGACGAACAGCACACCCTGTGTAACCCGGTCTCTACACCCTTTGCCGTCCCGTAGTGTCGGTGTAAACAAAACGGAAGCACCAGCAACAGGCAGACGACAGAGTGTCTGGCGTTCGGTCCAGTTTCAGCCAAGATAAAAGCGCAATGCATGAGGAGGAATCCGTCGGTTAATCAATGAGGGTTAGTTAGTCAGATGGATGAACTCGGGCTTATATTCAGGTCACTAGGACGTTGTCCACTAGGGGGAAAAATAACAGTACTTTACATAAACGGATTGACTATGCCCATGCCTTCCATTCTTAGTGCTTTATGTGTGTTATATTGTGATTTTTAATAAAAAATATTATATTTATAGATCACCATTTTTAACACCATTTCCTTACCCAAACAATGGAATGCATTTGTATTTGTGGAAAGGAACTGTTTCATTTTACTGTTTAGGTAACATATATTTACGTCTTCTTCCAGTTTGTTAAAGTATTTTACAAAAACATCAAAAATTAGAATGAAACCCAAAATAAATCTAGCTTTTGACAGCCGAAAAGTGTATACTCATGGCTTTGCCAATATCACACAAGCGAAAACTATATGACATTGTTGATATATTAAGCTCAAAAGGTTTTTTCTACCGGGTATCCAGCAGGCATTGACTTAATACATTCTAAGCAATTATTATTTAAAGTTCCCAATATTTGGAATTCATACTTATTAAGAAGTCAAGTTCGATAAGCTACAATTTGAATTTAAGTTCCAATTACAGCTATTATATTAAATTTGCTCAGCACTTTTTCTGGCGGCAAATATTGAAGTAAAAATTATTTATGGGTTTTGAACATAAAGAGTCTGAAACATGTATGTGTATGTATATATGACCAGGTGTCAAGTACACCCTAGGTACAGGTCGCGAAGGTAATTTGCAGTCGTGAATTTTACAACGGTGGCTTATGTCAGGGATTACCCAAGGTGGATCGACAGGAATGGTTGTACGGCAGGTCAAATTAAAAAGGGTGGATTAGGGAAATACGTACATTAAAAACCAATCATGGAGCCGACATTTTGTCAAATGTTTATGAGCTACCTGAATAAGGGTTTTAGTTCTAGGTAAGCCTGGGAGTGCGACGCGGTCATTAAAAATGCGAAGATTTACTACCTGTTGTGTATAAAAAGCGGTGTGTGGGCAAGGTACCAGCATCAGTTGCCAAGCAACACGCCCAGAAGCAAGATTGTCTCTGCAGCTCAGCACTCCATCACAAGATTCACACAGATATGTCCACATTCACGTGCACCCAGTTTTTGAACCTTGGCGAAATTTCTCCTGCGAAAATGGCTACCACCTATACTTTGGACGCATCCCACTTCGGGCGATGTGACCTAAACCTGTTCGTCGATAGCTTGGAGACCATCTCCAAACTGGAGAAAGAACGGCACGAGCGCCGCCAACGTCGGCGAGAGCAGAAGATCCAAAAGGAGCGAATGGCCGAGCTGGAGGATGAGCGATGCACAAGCCCAACGCCCAGTGCCGAAGAAGCCGTCGACGAGCCAGTGATGTACTTGGAGGCCAAGTGCATTCCGTACGCGGTTTCTAGTGCTCCGCCTGCACATACGATTTCTGGTATGCCAGAGTACTACACCTGCGACGACGAAGCCTACAGTAGTGCCTCCCAGTCACCGCGCAGCAGCGTCACTTACTGCAGCTGTGGAGGCATTTCGAGCCTAGATTCCGACTCCGCCGAGTCGGGGGTCTGCGACATCAATTCGCCGCCGCCCCTGCGACCGCGTTCTCAGGTGATCACGCAGCCAAAGCACCGCTCCACCAGATCCCGTATAATCAGCGTGGTTTTAAAGAGGGAGTTTGCCAAGGCTCCGCTAGATGAACGTCACGAGAAGGCCAAATGCTACGATCGCCCACTCAGCGACACCATCAGTCGCCAGTATGGAAGGCTCTTCAGCAAATCTCGGCGCGGCATTGCCTGTTTGCAGGGGTCCCCGGAAGAGCGCTTTCTGGACAAGGCCCTGCGCTACCTGACTTTGTGATTTTTGTCACGAGAGAAGACCAAATATATTTAATATTAGTGTTCACATATAAGCGTAAGATTGTTTGTAAAACAATGAAAAATTAAAATTTTAATAACAAAAATCAAGACATGTTTTACTGATTATAACAAACATAATTTTATGATTTTTGGTTAATAGAGAAGGGACTGTCGCCCTGAGCTTAGGAGCTATCTGAATGAATCTATGTAGACAGTCGTATGACTTCTCTCACTGGTATATAGGTCGAAACGGGCCGGATCGAAAAATATTAAGAAAAAAATTATAATTAATTAATTATTATATATTATAGCTGTTTTTCAACATATTTTCAACCTTGAGGCATGGCCATTTTTTATTATTTCAGAATTTCTGTTTACATTTTTGAAAATCGGATGACAGTATTATATAGTTAGCATAGAAAATGTCGGCAGATGTAAAGAAAAATGTAAAGTTGTGAGTGTACAACAGTATCTGTAAACTTGAAATAATATAAAATCTGCAAGATTATACAAGCTTCGGCGTACCACAATTAGCTTCCCTTATTTTTTAAAGCTATATGTAGATACTTTTCTTAAAAATTTGCCAAATTGCTCCATTATTGTTTATATATATATTTTTTAAATGTCTATTATTGGGATATTGAACCAAAATCCCCCGCAAAAGTGTTAGCACGTCAGTTCGCGATTTTCGTCTGAGGAAACAAATGTAGGCGATGGCACATGGGAATATCGAGTACAGTAGATATGCATGTACATATGTAGATACTTAACATGAATTATCATATTTAATTGAAGCCCACACAAGAGATCTGCATAAAATGACTCAGCAACAGTGAATTGGTTAAAGAATTTTATTTTAATTGAATATTTGTAGCGTTTATTTGGTAAGGCCCTCGCTTTCTACTGGCAACGCGCCAAGCGAACCTTTGCGACGGTCACTGAACCTTCAAAAATTGCTTGCCATGCGAGATTTGTATACCCTAGGCGATCCTACTTTAATAAGTTTTATTTAATTTGAAATCAATAAGAACTCTTTGTCAATTGTATAATAAATAAAAATATCGAAGTTTGGCTGATTTTTCGGAGTACTCAAATAAATTGACCAATATTTTCTATGGCAAATAAATAACATAATCATCCATATTAATAATAAAATAAGACTATCTCCAAGTATCTTTTATAAAATGAAAACTGAGGAACAAGTTTTCAATGTATCGTTAGGACGACCATGACTAAATCGACTCGGCAGTTGATGTTTTTGTTGATCAACGGTAATGCCTCCCCTGAAAGTATAATACCCTGCAAGGCCCGTTAGGCCATTCGGTCAGTGAAAGTTCGTAGCCACTTAACATTTCGAAAAAATGTATTCCGACCTATACTTCTTGACTAATTATAGCTGCATATGTACAAACGTGTGCGTGTGAATTGAAGAAGTATTGTTTTGTGTACAAGTCTAATTGACGATGGGACAATTAAGCGTAATTGCCTAATTGCTGACATCATCGTAGATAATTCGAAAGGCCCAAGTGTTAAAGCCCAAACCCCCTCAAACAAGTAAGAAAGCTACAGTCGAGTACTCTTCTCTGTGAGAAAACATTTTAATTGTTAAGTAGTATTCACATAAACATGTTTCTTACCATACAGAACGTATACTATGTTACTTCATTTTGATAAAAGAGTGCGATTTTGCAAATCAGATAGATGTGTGTAATAATGGGACAGCATGATCGCATTCTGTTTTTATTATTACGTAATAGTTTTTATTGAGCCCACAAGGCATACCCGATATCTCGCTGCGAGCACACTGATGCATACATAGGTGTTACTTGAGTTTCACACTTTTGTCCAGCGCAATATGTGCAAAAAATCGCAGGGCACTAGCAAAAAACAAATATATAAATATATTGTGAGACCAATCTGAATACTCGACATCTGATGATATACACCGTTTATGATAATTACCATATACTGTTATATACATATATTTACCATAATACACTTTGTAGACACAATTAAATACATTGCAGAGGTGTATTTGGTCAATAACTCAATAGTTTCACTTTCACATTTAGTAATTTAAATTTGTAAATTAATGAAGTTTATACCATTTCTAATATGGTCCTAAGAAAAGGGAAGGATGTCCATAGAGTATAAAAGCAAATGGAGACAACAAAATTAGAGTGCACTGAGAAAACAAAATTTGTCAACCAGTTGTTCCTTGTCCTAATACTCGACGTATTCGCAATGCTGCAGCACTGAGACCGGATATAAGGCAATTTATGAAATTGAGACGCCAAGTTCAGAGAGCTAAATCATTTGGATAAACGTTTCGGACATTATGTAATCTAACAGTAAATCCAACTGATTGCCGCGAAATCAGTTCCTCTTTTATTCTGTACACAGAAGACCAGAGCAGAGTATCGTATGGAAAAAGTGTGTTTTTCTTGTAACTATTGCTGTTTTGTTGCTTGACCTGTAGTACATTATTCATAGTTCTTCCACGGTTTACATCACTGGGTCGCGACAAACAGAAGTGCCTTCAAGCAGAAAGAGCAGTTGGACGACGAAATAGGGGGGCGGGGCACATTAAAATGTGATTTATTAAAAAAATGCCAGGTCTGTCGGAGTGAGCGTGGCTATTTACGGAATGTATCCGAGCCGCAGAGGAAACTCGATGGCAAGAGGGAGAGACGAGGACAGCACAGAACGGAAATGGAACTATGCATGTGTTTTTGTTTACCCCGGCGCTGGGGTGTTCTGTGCCTTAGCTTTTAGCGTCGCTCTCTTTGATTTCTGCAGCCAACCTCTTGTAGCAGGTGTGCATTATCGACAGCTGGCACTTTTGACTTTTCCTCACGGAGTGTTTTTAGACCCGAGTCACAAGGTACAAGGGTATTATGGCTGGTGCCTACCGATGATGTATAAATGTTAATGTGTTCTGCAAACAAATCATTTTGTTTTACAATTTGGCCAAGCCCACTTTTACATCAACTATTTCGAGTCTCGAAAAGCGTATGTTAATTTTCTGGCATCCTTAAATATACATATGTATGTACGTATATAACGTCAAAATAACTTAAAAAATATATATTAAAAGGAAAGTAAGCTTACATAGAAACACCGAAGTTTTTATCGGAATTCGATTGAAAAATACTATTTATATAAATAACCTAACTTTTGCTGAATTCAATTTGACCGATATTCCCAATGGCTATACGAAAGGCCCTAGAGTTTAGCAAATATAAATTATTGCAAAATAACTATAAGCATCAATAAAAATGAAGTTGACCTTGCTTTGTCGTTTTTTCATAATTCTCTCCTTTATACAGATAGATTTTATATCTTTAATAGTTGATACTTAAAAACAAAAATAATAATAATACTTATAATGCATTAGTTTGTCATTTAACTCAACCAAATACTGAAACTCAAAAACATTTTAAATTGAATATAATACAATATTTAATTAGATTATAATTCGGCATGCCTGTAGAAGTCTCTCTAGTTTAGCCAAGTGCCGAAAACTGACATATAGCACGTTTTGCCAGTGGTTAAGACGTTAAGGGTGCTAGCGGAAAATCTAGAAAGTCACTCCAGTAAAAAACCTGGGGAATTTGTAAGAAAATCCAAAAGGGTTAAGCTGATTTTCAATACTGCGTGTGTATGTATACATACTATATAGTAGTTTCATTGCGCTTATTCGGTTGTGATAGTGCCCGAAATGACACCTTCACTTACCTATACCGTGCAAGGTTGCAATTTGACCCATTGACCTAATATAGATTTTAGGTCAAGGTGATGAAAACCAAATTAATAAGATCATTCTATCCCCAGTTATGTCCTGTATGAATAATTAATATATGTTCATTTGTATACCAACGAATATATATTTATCGCTCCCAATGCAGATTTGAAACGCCTTATAAACAAAGAGGAATCAAAGTAGAAAGGAATTGCGAGTATAACAATATATGTACATACGTATGGCTGTGAAGCTTTTCCCTTTGGTGGAATAAATACACAATTTATAAACAGAAATTCTGCTGACCGTTTAAAATTAAGTTTTTATGCTCATCGATTTTTGTTTGTTTGTATACTGTTCTATGCCTTGTATTATTTTTAGAAAAATTTCACAGATGCCTTATACAAAATTTCGCTGACGCTACACAAAATACACAGACCTGCAAATAAAATACTCTTTTGGTTACAGAAACAGTTGTCTTATAGTATTACCCATTCTTGGATTTAAATCTAAGATTGCATGGTTTTAAATCTAAAACTGCATGTATTTGGAAAGAAGTATGGTTATTGGAAATTTCAATCTTTAACCATACAGGCCTGCAAAATATCAATTCTACATTTCTACAGAAACAGGTGGGGCAATTTCAAAAATCAAGTTTAAGTACTGATTTTAATGCGATCAATTGGTCTTAGTAATGTATGTGGTTTGACTTAAAAATTGTTTTTTTTAAATTGAATTTTAATTCCTGCCACACTCGAAATGTTTTTTTTATGTATACGTAAAAACGTATAAGCATTTTATTTTACTCTTGCCTTCCTATGTCGATAATGACGTCCCACATTTAGTCAGATTTTTTAGCATATACATACATTCATAGATGTGTATGTACATATCTGATAGAAGAGATAAAAGAATGCCTCTTTAATACATATTTTTTTAGCTCAAAAGTTATAGTTTAGATTACTTTATAATTGGCTGGTTTTAATCATATTTCCTCATACTCTTAATAGTTTGACTTCAGCTTTATATACATTATATATTTTGCTTGCCATTAATAATTATAATTTTATATTTACATAATCGCTCCAAGAATAATTATTAATATTTTTTCGCTCAAAATTTCGCTCAATGTGTAATCTTCTTTCTAAAAGGTTTCCTTGAAAATCCTAGGAATTGAAAACAGACGAACCAAATAAACACATTGAGCGAAATAATATGGCTCAATACATAATAATAGGTTTCAGCAATCATTTGTTATCTTGAAAGAGCATCCAAATTGTAGCCGATTGCAATAATTCGTTTTTTTTTGCGGTTTTCCAAGTAGATAATTTTTTTGTTTAAAGAAAACATTGAAAATCAATGTTTACGGTCCCTGATAGAAGGGATTTGAGTTATTTATTTATTTATTTGCTATTTTAAAATAGCAAAAAATATCTGCAAATAAAACCTACTTTTACCTCCTTATCATAATAACGTAACAAACTATTCTGTGCACAGAAAATATTGCAAAAATACATACATACATATATAGTATGTACACATGTAACTCTAAAAATAAATTGCCCGCCACTGGCACAAGCAGACATACTTAGTCAATTAAATTTCCTGCTGTCTGCTCGAATGACCGAATGCTGGAGAACAGAGAGAACCTTTAATTTGAATAAATTTCTGAAATAGTAGCTATCTTGTTCAGACGATGAAAATGCCTCAGCAGTGATCTCAGCCAACTGGAAGATGTTAACTTGTTTCAAGTGGCTTAGCAAATTCTTTAGCGCTGACAGACATTTATGAGGTACTATGTATTAGAAAGCGGTTATTGCATGACACAATTTTTAACAACATTCACACTCTTGTACGTACTTCAGTGCTCATTTATTGACTCTTTATAAATATATACACATTTATATGTGTCTTTGGCACAATAATAGGGAGTGGTGAAGAAAAAATATTAAGAGAAATTCGTTCAAGTGCCCAAAGAGAGGGAAAATCCAAGAGTGAACGGGTGCGTCGCAGATACTCTCCTTAGCCATTGCCAGTGAGTAAGGGAGCCGATCATGCGGTCATCCCTCGCATTGCAAGAGAAACCTATAATTCAAACATCATTTCTGACTAGTCCGTTATTCCTTCGCCTTCATTGTTTACAAAAAAAAATATATGTATGTAAGTATGTATATACTAATAGGAATTCGCCTTGTACCTACTTTAGCTATTAAAAATCGATTTTAAAAAATATGCAGGCAAAGAAAACCTTATAAATGCAAAAAAACGATGCAAAATACAAATGTACCAAGTAAGCTTTAAACAAAAATTGTTGTCATAGAAGTTTTCCTTCTTTATTAATTAAATGCACTCATTTATCTTTTATTTATTTATTTGTAACCTAATGCATAAAGTCTGCTATGTACATGATGATAAGTATGATTTGGCGGCGTTTTAGGTGCTGTCCTAAAATTCCAACTTTATTGCTTATTAATTTCCATATTAAATGTCCGATTTAAATTAGAATTAGAAAACGACTGCGCATTAAATTTGCAATACGCTGATCAAATTCACCTCTCAAATAAATAATAGATTTGAAAGGTTAACTTGATCTCCAGATTGGTGATTGCATATTTTTGTTGTTTTATACACGTATGTACATATATGTACACATATGTAAATAGATGGACAGACTGTCACTAGACTAGAGATGCTCTTCAAGATTAACTTTATGGGGTTCGATATGCCTCCGTCTGTCTGACTTATGAAATCTCGTTTTGCAGTTATATGTACATAAGTACGTAAGTTATAATACCTTCGAGGGTATAAAAACAGCAAATAAAAATTATCACCGAAAGGGCGTGAACAATGGAGGAGTGGGGCGGGCGGGCGTTCGCACAATTTAAAAAACTAAGGTCAAGTGGTCATTGTTTGTGAACATGCGAGTAATTTGTGGAGGCCGCAATAAGAATAGGAACAAGGAAATAAGCCTACTTCGGCTCGCCGAAGTTTGTATACCCTTGCAGTATAAAATAACTACATTTTGGATAACTACATTTACCTATTCAGTTACATCAGCTACATCTATCGGTCGTTTGATTTTCATAAAATCAAAACCGAAACTTTGAAATTTAATTAAATTACCATATCTTAATAAAAAACGAAATAAATTGAAAAACAGCAAACGTATAATTTTTTCGAGACAAATATTCCGTGTTTCAATGGCAGCTACATATATGATATAGTCGTCCGATCCGACCATATTTATACTTTATAGAGCTGGAAAGGTCTCCTTTACTGCGTTGCAAACTTCTAACTAAAATTATAATACCCTGCAAGGGTATAAAACAGCAGGGCGAAACCAGAAAAGAAGAGAGTACACTAAGAACCACAAATACCAAAAACCACAGTGGAGTGCGAGATACCCGGTACCATATGGTTTCTGCGTACAAGTACAAAAACCACTGATGAAGATTGCGATTTTACTGTCTCTCTACGCTGCCCATTCTAAAAAGAACCGTATGTGTATTGTCAATACATTATACAACTAAGTTCGGATTTAACCAAATTTATTTTTATTATAATATATTACTATATTTTCTCCTTTCCGTTACGATTTTGTTTAAATATCTTTCGTTTTTATTTTAGGTGTAATAGTCACATTGACGTAAGCCAATTATATTTTCTGCTGTTGTACATTGACTACACATGTATATATTTCATATACATTTTTGAATAATTATAATTATTATAATTTAAAATGAAGCTGACCAAAAAGATAAAATAAAATAAAATATGGGCAGAGCTCGAACACGCTATGTGGTCGTCCCAAAGATTGCTTTGGAAGCGTTTTAGTTTATTGCCCACTAACTTCTAGATTTATTGTCCAATTTTAATAAAAATTTTAAAAAAGATTGGATTTATATTTTGTTATCGATATTAATTGGAAACTCATGATTTTTTTTTATACAAACATATAACCAAAATGCGGATCGTTAAAAAAGGTAACGCTCTAGAAAAAGTTGTAGAAAAGAATTTAAAAATTTAAGAATTTGAAAAATTAAAAATTTGAAAAGAAGTGGTCTAAGTTTTCCGAATAAAAGCCTTTCCTGGTTGTCTGCTTGAAACTAAACGCTGCTTTAGCTTTTTATGACTATTTTTATTATATTAAGCAGATGGAACAAAAAACTTACTTTATTTTAATATATTTCGTTATTTGTATCCATTATTTTCGTAATGAATTTGGATTGATTTCGGTGTTTGAGGGCCACAGTCCAGAGCTTAAAATGTGAGCCGAGAGACAGCGAAACTAGGCGTTTAGTAAGTTGAATGGCTTTTTAATACGATAATTAGACATGGAAATTCTGGAAGCTTGAGTAAGTACGCCACTAATTAGACAAGAAAAGGGAAAGCTGGAAAACACACTATTTACTTTGTCGCTGCGCTGTTACAGCTCACTGAACAGGTCAGGTGGGTGCGACTGACGCCCAGATCAATAAACGTGTCCCATGAAGAAGATCAAACGCCCTATCATAGAATTCTAGACGGAAATGGTAAGAACTAACTCAGGTACAACAGTTTTCCACGAAGCAAAGTGAAAAAGGAAATACAAGAAAAAAAAGCGCAGATACGCGGTACCAAACGCTTTGCTAATTAATTTAAAAGTCAAACATTTATATTCTTTAACGGAGAAAAGGCATTTTTAAACGCAAAAAAACTTCCGATGAGCTTGTTCAACGCGCTTAATATTTTTGTTGTCGTTATATGAGCATGTGTCGTCACTTACCAATGTATTTCTCTGATTCTCTTTGTCCAGCAGAAACTCCATGCTCTTGTGGGGCCTTCGAATAGATGCGATTTGAACACCTCCTGCTCCTCCTCCTCTTGACGCTGTTTTGACAACGTCCTCTCCATCCAGATCCAGGTCGTCCGTGTTGTATGCCGCACTGGTAACTTTCAGACGTTTCACAATATACCGCTTGTGCGGCTGCCCAAGCGGGTTGGAAGTTATGTCCATTAGAGAGCGAGTCTTGCCAGAGATAACCGTCTCGTGGGTATCCAGATTAGTCTCGATTAGACCCATTAAGCCGTCCTCGTTCACGGGCGACACAGCCACTGGCACAGCGGTTACCATGGTGGGCCTAACTCCGCCCAGCTGGTTGAACATCTGTGTTTTTTGGGCGACACTCGCCCGAGACGGAGACTGGCTGTCCCGCATTCTGGTCGCATCAATTCCCGCTGTCAACTGACCGGCGAACTGCTGGTATTCCTCCCGTTCGGCGCTTAGTAGTGCATCGCTGGCATGGGCAGCACTGGTGACTCCATGAGGCGCATGCGCTAGGCTGCTGCTGCGAGTCTGTTTTGGCAACGGGGGCTTGCCGGTGACTACCTTTTGGAGGGTTGATGTCTTTGTCAGCTGTTCCGGCTGCAAGGCGGTCTGACTTTCCTCCAGTGGGCTGGAGTGCACAGCTCGTGGAGGCTTTAGTGGTATGTGTATGAAGTCTACTGCCCTACCACCGCTCTCCCTCGAGGTCTTCGGAGGCACTGGAGCAGAAGCTGCTTTGATTATCGTCGGCTGCCTCGGCTCCTCCTTGGGCTCCGGCTTTTCCACCTTCTGTTGCTTTTTCTTGCGGCGCAGCGAAAAGCGCAGGCCGTTGGCAAATCTGGAGAGAAAACTCTTGGAGCTGGGATGTTTGTCATCCGTCTTGCCAGTGGCCATGGTTATAGCCTTCGGCTTTGGGTCATCCGGTGTCGTCATCTCGCGGATCTGTTGATCTGGATCCGTCTCGTAGCGCTGCAGCAGCTGCTGGGAGGCGTATAGGATGTGGTGTGCGCGATTGGTGGGCGGCTCGCTGAGAATGGGCAGATGGAGGCTCAAAGGTCGAGCGGGGGCGCTGGCAGGTGCGGCTGCGGCTGCGGCGATTACCGATCGACTAGAACGAGCTAGTGGTGGCTGGTTTACCAACGATGATGAGTTCGCGACGTCGACTAAGCGGCCGACATTGTTCGTTCCCAGAGCGGCCCTGTTTAAGGCGGGTTCGGATTCCGATCCGGCCTCGGTTTTAGCTTCGACACTCGTCTGGCCTTCGGGTGAGGCGTTGTTAATTTCGATGTTTTCGTTGTTCTCGTCGCTCTCTTCGGCACCGATCGCCGGCTCTCTGAGCGCCTCTCTAGGCGCTTCTCTTGTCGCTTCTCTTGGCACCTCTCTTTGCAGCCGCATCTGCTCTTCGGTGTACCGTGCGGCGACATTCTCGTTCTCTTTGGTGTTGTGCATGACAGTGGCGTCCGCGTTGTCCAGGAGCTCGTCGTCACTCGAAAGTGATTGCTCGCCCTCGCCGGAAAGGCCGCCATCTGGCGGCTCCTCAGACGACTGCTCCTGCCAGCAATACTTGCTAACCACGGGGCAGAAACTCACCTCCTTGCTGAAGGAATTCCGAGAGCCGGCCGGCAGCAATATGCCCAGTGGTTTTGGTTCAGTGGAATTCTGAGGCAGTTGGTGCATAGAAGTGTGGGCACTGCTCACATAAATGTCGTCCTCCGGCTCCTGCCGCAGGTCTTCGTAAGCGGAGAGATTTGGCGTGCTGCTGACCAGGCTGCGCTGCTTGGCGGCCGCTGCCTGCGATTGGAGGAAGCGCCGCTTGGGAAGAGCTCTTTGAGCAGATGAGGACCTCGGCGGAGGCGGAGGTTTGGCCGGAATCACCTCTTGAGCAGTGAAGTTGCACTGCTCCAAGCTCTGGGTATAGGAGGTCCGCAGGTTAGTGGGGTCCTGGTCAAATGTCTTCTTGCCGAAGCTGCTGAAAGTCAACTGTGGTTGTGCCTCCAGATACGGTTCCAGCTGGAGCCTTTCATCTCCATGCTTATCCCCAAACTTATGCAGTGGCGGTGCCTTTCTTATCGTCAGCTGAATATGCTGAGCTTGTTCTACTTCCTCAGGGACGGCTTCTGAATCGACCTGGTCATGTGGTTGCTCCTCCTCCGGTTCCACAACGGGCTTATCGTTCAAGATCGAAACATTCTTGTCGTATATCTTGCTGATCTCATCGAGCAAAAAGTTGCCTTTGCATATAATCTGCTCATAATCCCCGCCAGAGATTCTGCCGTCGTGGTCGGACATCTTAGTTTCAGCTGACTGGTTTCTCTTGTGATTCATTTGGAGCTGCTCGGACTTTGGCTGTTGGCCTGTGTAGTCGAGAAGCGTGAGGTTTTGATAGCTAGCGTTTAAATATCCCGCGCTGGCCACACCCAACACAGCTCTCTCTGTAAAGGCTTGCGTTGGTCTGCGATCAGTCCAGCTGCAGCTGCGCCCAGTTCGCGGCAGACTGTGTCCGTCGAGGAAGAAGTCGTCACGCCTCTCCTCTATCTCCAAATCCAACCCGTCACTGGAGCTGCTGCCACTACTTTGGCAGTTCCGCTGGCTGCGGCGGCTGAGACGGGGTCGACGCCGACGGCCCAACTGTTGCAGCCCGCTGGGTAGCGAATTGGTGGTGACACCCAGGAGCGGCGAACAGTGGCCCGAGGATGAGCTGCTGCTGCGGCTCCCGCTGCTGATTTCGTTTGTGTTGCTGCTAGTGGTGGCCAGCACGTAGCCGTGGGTGTGTGCCTCTGTATCAACAATTGCTCTGCTGGGCGACGGCGAACCTCGCGGCTCGCGTATATCGGGCAAACTATTGCGCAGCCACGTAAACGATGCGGTGGATGACGAAGAGGAGGCTACAGATCCGCTCGGAGACGGCGACGGTGCCACCGATTCTGGCTGAGAGCCGGTCCTCTCTGAAGAACTATTTATAGACGATGGAGAAGACGGAGAGCAGGGCATAGCAGCCGTGTCCGTTGTCTGCTCTATTTTTGGCTGATACAAATCATGTCCGCCATTGGAGTTTCGTGAATGATGCGAGATCTCCTCCAGCAGCAGTAGCTCCTCCTCCCTCTCCTCGCAAAGCTTGTCAAAATTCTTGGGTATTGCTATAGGCTTTTCGCTACGATGCTGCGTGCTTGGTTCGCAGTAGCCAGAATCCTCAGACAAATTCTCTGCTGAGTTGAGCGGCACTCGCCTGGAGGCAGTTTCGTCCACATCTTTACTGCCAGCTTGCACTTTCCCCCCGGTGCCCTGCCCCGCGTTTAACATACTGTGGCCACTTCTGTCAGAGCTAGAGCTGGAGCTGGAACTAGAGGTGGAGCTTGAGCAGGACTCCAAGTCGGACTTATTCCCAGCCTGGTGCAGGCCCTTAGAGAACAACTGTCGCTGGTGCTGGTCTTCTAGATCCAGTTTGTTCAATTCATAGTAAGTCTGGTGCAGGCGTCCGTCGCTTGACTCGTAGCGCTTCATTAAAGACAAGGACGATGCGGAGCCCCGCCGGCTCTCTGGATTGCTATCACTGGTACCGGTACTGGCACCGACGCCCAGGTCACAGCTGAGAAGCGAAGGGGAGCTGTTGCCCAGGCTATTCAAGCTGAGGTGCTGCTCCTGCAGCGTGAGCTGCCGCTCCAGGGATTCGAACTGCACCAAGGACGAGCTGCGAGACAGTGAATGGTACGAGTCGTTATCCGAGTAGTAGTCATCAAAAGTTGCGCCACCGCGCCGACTGCCTGTACTGTTCCTTTGCCCTTGGCTACCGTAGCTGTCTCGCGTACAGCCCTCCGCGGCGAGAAAACGCTCCATGCTGTTGTGAGCTTCTGTTTCATGGCGAGGAGTGCGTCGCATTTGGACAATGTCCTCCACAACCTGTGGAAGCTCTATTTCCTGGCAACGGCGAGGACGTTTTGGTGGACAAGCGAAGTCCCGTTCGGAAATGGCATCGACATCTGTAAAAAAATTCAGATATCTTGGAGTCCGAACACAAAGTCTATAACTTCACCTCACCCTTTGTTACTTCATTGCATATGACAGAGCCCGTGGAGCTCCAAAAGCTGCTACGCTGCTCCTGGCCGTTCCAACTGACCTGGGCATGCTCTTCGTCCTCGCTGGTCTCCTCTATGATAGGTTCTAACATTTGCCGCGAGCTTGACAAGAAGACAGCCTCTGCAAAGGAAGGGGAGAAATTCCGAATCAGTTTTCTAGAATCTTGTATAACCCATACCAACCCAGGTTGTTAGCTTGGTGGCAACCGTTAAAGTCTGTAACTTTTAACTTTATTTTAACTTTTTATTATAATTAGGTGTCAGCACATTTATAAATATTTTACATAATAACAAGCGCATATTAAAGAACAAAACAAAAGAGTAAGCTAACTTCGGCACGATCCTATGACAGCTATAAAATATAGTCGTCTGATTTTCATAAAATTAAAACCGAAATTCTGAAATAATATAAAAATCTCAAAAATTATAAAATTAGTTTGAAAAACAGCCAAGTTATAATTGTTTTTTCTAAAAATTTATCGATCATTTGTATGGCAGCTATATGATATAGTCGTCCGATCCGGCGCGTTCCGACAGAAGACTATATGCAAAGTTTCATTCAGATAGCTTTAAAAGTGAGGGACTAGTTTGCGTAGAAACGGAAAGGTGGACAGACGGACGGTAATACGGACGGACATGGCTAGATCGACTTGGCTCAAGAATAGATGTACATATATACTTTACAGAATCGAATCGGTATCCTTCACTGCGTTGCAAACTTCTGACTGAAATTATAATACCCTGCAAGGGTATAAAATGAAAATTTAGTAAAAAAAAATCCAATAGGACGTCGTAAATCATACTATATTGTGCGCGAAAACCTAATGAATAGGGTAAGTTTTTAAAAATATTAATTCACCAGTTATTATTTACCTTGAAATTTAGTCAAAAAAAAAATAAATAAATAAAAAACACTTTAAGCAAACCAAACACTTAGAAAATTAAAAAAAAAAAACATTATTTGTATATTCTGCTTATTATCGATTCAAGATTAGAGTCCACCACACTCACCTTGCTGTTCAAATGCACCAAGGCTGTTCCAACATGTTGCTGTGTTAGCCAGATATCCCGCCAGGTCCAGATGTTCCATTTCAAAATATTGTCTTTGACAAGTCTTTCAGAAAAGTCTTTGGTTAAATCTCAAACGGTTGTAAATATCTCAAAGTTAATGATTTGTGTATGTATGTATATGATATGTCTGTACATGTATCGTTGTAGTATCACATTAGTTCGTCTCCATGAGCGTTATCGTTGTCGTTTAGCTTATCCTCCGTAAATGCATCTGTGGCATATTGCACCTTTCGAATTTTATTACTGTCGTACATATCCTTATTCCTTTTACTTTAATAAGTTTTGAAACCGTGCTTGGTTAAATATTTTGATTTAAGATTTCTGTTGTTCCGTTAGTCATTTCTTCTTATTGACCAACTTTGAAACGAAACCAAAACAATTTTACCCTGAAAAACATAATTTATAATGTAATAATTAGGTTTTGTTCCATACCAATATATTAAAATCATATAAAATACCAACATATTAGGGTTGAAATATGTAAAGTAATATTTATGTATATGTTGGCGAAATAAATAAACAATATATAAACTAATAATAAATAATATAAACAACGAAGTAGAGAGAGACAAAAAAGAACAATATTTTATTTGGAAAAGACCGACCAAATCGAATTTATGAAATATCCTTTAAACTTAAGATTGTAATGACTGAAAGGTTTTGCTAGACGCGTTACGGGATCTGGAATACAACCATTCTTAATGAAACTCTTCTGACTACTCTTACTACTATACATATGTACATATGTATATGTCGGAACGGGCCTAATCGGGTAACTACATATATCATAAAAAACGATCGAAAAATTCGTAGACAACAATTTATAACTTTATTGTTTTTCAAGAAATTTTGATCTTCTTTGAGATATGGTAATTTTGTGTTATATTAGACTTTTGGTTTTAATTTTATGAAAATCGGACGACTACATGATCATTGTAGGCGGGAGTTTGACGTACATTAACCCGGCTGATTACAACCTCCTCTTTGATATTATTGTTCGTAGTGATAAACTCTAATAATTAGAATTCAAATTAGCTTAGCCAATTTTGTTTAATTCCCTTGTTCTTAAAAAAAAATTATTTTCAATTTAAATATTTACATAGGAACGATCAGGAAATTAATATAAAAAATATAAAAAAAAATTGTTGAATATATTTTCAGCTTTCTCCTTTGTGTTGAGTTCTTTCTTTGCTTTTTATTCTATATATTTTTTTTAACCGAATATAATAATATATAACCGAATATCAAGGTTATATAGATGAGTTTTATGATTGGAAAGGTGTGGGCATGGCCAAGATAAGAATGACACCAATCTGCCCAAATTCGCTCTCATATCCTCATAAATAGGATATTTCATCCGGCCGGTGATGCGGATTAAGAATATTATGGGGTCAGACTAAAATTAGAATAGCCTGCAAAGGGGAAAAAGTATTTATTTGTTTAAGAAACATTTAAAATGGGTCTATAGTTATAGGTTGAATTTGATGTAAAAATACACTTCTACAGCTGACTGAATTTAGTTCAGTTATTAAATTAAGCAATAGACGGATTATTGAACTACTTAGAATTCAGTACCAAAATAATAAAGTCAATCTGAAGTCTTGAACCCCCGATGCAAAATAAAACTTGGGAACACTATTTTCGCGCTAACGTCACTGGGGCAATCTGACCTATTCCGAGTCTGTGTTTATTTCTCTTTTAGTTTTACGTAAACTGAAGTTATTTATAAACGGAATCAAAACACACAATTGCACAACCAAATGCCCAACATAGAAAATATATTCAAGATTAAGGAGAAAACAATTCATTAATGTTTAAAAGGCAAAAAAAACATTTGAAATGTCAACAATATTCTATACCTTTATTCAAATAATTTTTTTTGTTAAAGAATTATTCATTTCTTTATTTAGCTTGAAAAAGGTTGGAAAAAAACAAACGCTTCGAAAAGTTTGTACTGTTTGTGTTTGTCCTTAAAGTTGCTACAACAGATCTCTGGGACCGCCTGGCTAAAAAACATTTTGCGGTTACCACTATAACTTATCTCTAAGCAGTCGCATATCGACGAATCTTATCTTAGCGTAGGTACAAATGTTTACTTTTACTAATTAAATATTGTAAGCCACACCTTTATTATAACCAACCATGCACAAATAGCTCTTCTCGCCTGTTTCAGTTCAGACAGTATTTTCCCTTTAAGGGGGTCTTCTCATTTAAACCCCGTTTTTTGGACCCTTTTTAAAAAAATTCTTATTTGAAAAATTATTTATTAAAAAATGTTCAAAGTAAATAAAAAAATTGTTTTTGCATCGATACGAGGGTTGTTCAAAGAGTAATGAGACTTCAAACTTAGTGGTAAAAAAAAAGGTGTCGTCCCGGCGGCCACGATTCAGGGTCTCCAGAGCGTCCGAAATGAAAAATAAAAACGGGTTTATAATCAGAATAGATGTCATTTTCGGGTGACGGAACAGATTTTTTAAAAAATTCTTTTAAACAAAATGGCGGCTATTCAAAAAAAAAATTTCGATTTCGGGCTTTTTTTTTTGTAGTTTAGTGACAATTCTGCGTCGATTTCACTTTGTTTCATGAAAATCGGTTCAGTTGAACTGGAGATATCATGGCCGCCAGTTCGAAAAACGTGGTTTCGAGATAAACGCGTTTGAAGTTTGAAAAAAGCTCATTTTGCATAGATCTTGCTTCACAAAAAAGGCTGTATCTTCTAAAGTATTTCGAATTTCTAAAAATCCTTTTGGGGACATATACACAACATCCCAAGCTATAAATAAATGAAAAAAAAAAATCGAAAAAAAAGTTGCCCAATGAGAAGACCCCCTTAATACAAAAGTTTGGAAAATCCCTTCAGATGATTTTACTTCCTACTTTCAGTACCCATTGACTACAAGTGAATAATACATTATATCCAACCAGGAATTTATTTAACAGGAAGAAGATTGCATATATTTATGTATATATATTGGCAGCATTACCATTATAATCAGGCCTGCTCCGGTAATCGAAAACGGCAAGAATTTTTCGTTTTCGTTTTTGAAAACGAGAAATTGGTGCTCCGGTAATCGAAATCGAAAGATTTTTTCGATTTGAAAAACGGGCACCTATTTCTGGCCGGAATAAAAAGTAAATGGCTTTTTTTATATGAAATCAGATCTTATTTACAAAAGGAAAAAAATAGTTTACTCAGTGGTCTATTGATGTTTATTCCACAACACCATAAGATCATTCTGGCAGGTAGTTATTTTATAAAAAATTTATTTCTGACCCCACCTCAGATTTGACAACAAAATTTTTGCCGTGTTCAGCCAGTTTTCTCGGTTTGGCGATAGGTCGATAAGTTCACCGCAAAAAGTTATCGCCAAGGTTGCCATATTGTTGGTGGAACGAAACATTCAGTTAAAAATACTTATAAAATATAAATGAATACATTAATAACTTTAAAGGACCGCCAAAATGGTTGTTTATAAATAATGCTATTTAATGTGATTACTTAAATGGTCCAAATTAACCAAATAATTATTTGAGACCACCGGAATTAAAACTGTGAAAAGTGTGGCAGCATCTTAGGTGCATAGATTTGCTAAACTCTACCATTTTTTGCCTTTTTCTGGCTTATAAAAAGGGCAATTGTAAATATAATTTTACGATTACCGGAGCAGGCCTGAATAAAAATGTTGTCTTTTTCTTTAAAGGGTAATAGGCAATCAGGCCTGCTCCGGTAATCGTAAAATTTTTTCGATTTCGTTTTGGGCGAAAACGAACCGTTTTCGTTTTTAGCTGCTCCGGTTTTCGGCAAATTTCTGCTATCGGATGTTTCGTTTTCTCATCGTTTCTCACTGCTCAAGCAGCTAACTTGTGTTGTTGGTAATAAGCAAACAACGTAAAGTACTGCCTATTATATTTACAATTGCCCTTTATCTAAGCCAGAAAAAGGCAAAAAATGGTATAATTAAGCAAATCCAGGCACCTAAGATGCTGCCACACTTTTCACAGTTTTAATTCCGGTGGTCTCAAATAAATATTTGGTTAATTTGGACCATTTAAGTAATCACATTAAATAGCATTAATTATAAACAACCATTTTGGCGGTCCTTTAAAGTTATTAATGTATTCATTTATATTTTATAAGTATTTTTAACTGGCTGTTTCGTTCCACCAACAGTATGGCAACCTTAGCGATAACTTTTTGCGGTGAACTTATCGACCTATCGCCAAAACGAGAAAACTGGGTGAACACGGCAAAAATTTTGCTGTCAAATCTGAGGTGGGGTCAGAAATAAATTTTTTATAAAATAACTACCTGCCAGAATGATCTTATGGTGTTGTGGAATAAACATCAATAGACCACTGAGTAAACTATTTTTTTCCTTTTGTAAATAAGGTCTGATTTCATATAGAAAAAGCCATTTACTTTTCATTCCGGCCAGAAAAAGGTGCCCGTTTTTCAAATCGAAAAAATCTTTCGATTTCGATTACCGGAGCACCAATTTCTCGTTTTCAAAAACGAAAACGAAAAATTCTTGCCGTTTTCGATTACCGGAGCAGGCCTGAATATATATATATATATATATATATCAATCTAATTGTATCTATTCAAAAACAATCTGTACTTACTTGAACTTTTGGAAAAGTAGGGCCTTTTTCAAATGAAAACCTTTTCTTGTTTGTCTGTTTCTCTATCTGTCTATTGAGATTGCTTTACTTTTGCTTTATAACACACATCTCGCTCTTTCGAGATAGTAGCTATAAAAATTAGTAAAATCAAGAAAGGAAGCTAACTTCGACACGCCGAAGTTTGTATACCCTTGCAGTTTTTAATTGGATCCTTCTGGTTAAATGAATAGAAAAATAACAAGAAAGAAAGCTAACTTCGGCACGCTGAAGTTTGTATGTATACCCTTGCAGATTGCGATTGGATCATTAGGAATCGAGCCATTCTGGTTGAATAATTAAAAAGAAAAAAAAAAATGTACATAAAAGTTGTGTATTTATACATAGCATAAATAAAATGCTAAAAACATACACAAAACAGAGTTTCTTAACATTTTACAAATACTTATTCAGGCCTGCTCCGGTAATCGTAAAATTTTTTCGATTTCGTTTTGGGCGAAAACGAACCGTTTTCGTTTTTAGCTGCTCCGGTTTTCGGCAAATTTCTGCTATCGGAATGTTTCGTTTTCTAATCGTTTCTCACTGCTCAAGCAGCTAACTTGTATTGTTGGTAATAAGCAAACAACGTAAAGTACTGCCTATTATATTTACAATTGCCCTTTTTCTAAGCCAGAAAAAGGCAAAAAATGGTAGAATTAAGCAAATCCAGGCACCTAAGATGCTGCCACACTTTTCACAGTTTTAATTCCGGTGGTCTCAAATAATT